ACGAGAGGTTGTAACAGAACGATGAAATTTTACGAGACTTTGAAAGTAAAATAGATCGATACCGCGTTTTTAAAAATCTATTTGATATCAGCATATGAAAATATATTTGAGTATATAAGTGTCAGAAATGGATAATAAAACTGCTATTTTCAATGACTACTTATTTTTGTCCAGCTTTAATATCGGTATCGGTTATCGGCTACATGAGTTTTAAAATATCGGCATATCGGATATCGTGCATCCCTAATGTAATGGGAAGGGCAAGTGGACCGTTCAGCCCCTAAATAGCGATTCTGCATCAGTGCAGGCTTGCTGAAATTTAGCAGCTTGTGTAACGGCGAGCTACCGGCGGAAGAAACACGTGCATCAAAATCTAAGTTCCGCTGGTTTGCCGCATTTTCATCACGTTAGGAAAAACATCATTGATCCCTAAATGGAAGATCCTCTTTGAAATAGTTTAATTTGACTGGATATATCTATTTTCAAGAAAATGTTCTGTATGACGCACCACAGAGCTACAGCCACGCACATGCAGCATCACTGTGTTGCCATAGGAACGACTGCTTTCCCTTGCGTTGGGGGGAAGAAGCGGTCCCATTCACGTTTGTATGACACGAACAATCCAGGCACCTTCCACAAGTGTGAGTGTGACTTAATTGTGATGGACACTTAATAGTTAAGGGATAGTGCTTAAGGGTTAGTGGTTTGGGATTCAGCCATAGACTTGTTTTTCTGTTTTTTTTCCTTTCTTAATCAGCGTAACTCCAGAGTAATACTGCCCCCTTTAATGATCTCTTGCATCTGCATGATGCTGCTTTTTGTGCTGCAGGCAACAGATTTACTGCATTCAACCTTTTAACAGAACCTCACTTTGAATTCTGAACTTTCCCTTCAAATAGGTGAGTCCTCATTAGCTTTCAGGTCCAACGCTTGCAACAGATCATTCACAGTCATGAAGGAAAATGGCAGCAGCTGACATTCACTGGCTCAGCACTGACTGAGCCTGCACTTTAAAAAGGGCCTGGTGTGTTTTAAAGGCCTTATTTACACATCCGTAGTTTTAATAAACAACCAGCGTCTCTTTTGTTTTACCGGTATTATTACTGAGAGGGAGTCGGTATATGAAGACAGAGAGTACAAATTATTTACAACATGGAATATCAAGTGTGCTTGTTTGGAACGTCCCCAAATTTGAATGGAGCTAAACATGTTTTACTATTGACGAATTAAGAGGAAAGCTGGTTTTTTTTGGTTGTTAATGCTTCCTTTGATGGGCCACCAAACTGAAATCAGGACCCAGAAGTCCGAAATGTTTGTCACCTTCCATTTCTATGCAGGGATATAGAGTTAAAACAGGAGTGGCCTCGTCAGTGGTGCCATAGCAGAAGTAGAGCAAGTGTCGCTGGCATGGCTGGAACCAGGCTGGTCCTCTGCAGCGGAGCAGCAGGGGAGTGGACCCCTCCCATCCCGGCGGTGGCCAGCCGAGGAGTCAGCAGCTGCTCCTGGAAGGTGAAGTCATCCATTGCCAGGTTATCGGCGAGGTCTAAGAGGGAGACAGACAGAGCAGGAGACGGAGGAGATAATGAGGCGAGGTAAAAGAATGAGAAATATGAGGGAAGCAGGGGATGGGGAAGTTCAGAGCAAACACAGAGAAAAACACAAAAACACATGTCCGCCTTGCTGATGCGTGATGTCTTACGCAGCTGTAAAAATAACGACACATCAGGAGAAACCGGAGCTCCTCATATAACCAGATGCCGCATGTTATTGTTGCAGATGCACGTTGAGCTGCACACAAATTTATTTGAGTCAGAAAACTGCTGCAGCATCTGCCGAAAACAGAAAATAAAAAACCACAGAGGCTGCATGAAGTCACGTCTCAGACTCTGAAACAAGCAGAAAATCTGACTGATGCCATCTGTGTCTGCTAAAAATCTGACTCTAAATGGGGGAAATGATCTTTTATGACACGACAGATGCTCTTCACTAAAACAAGCAGTTTGTGAAATCAGAAGACTTTTAAAGGGTCGATCATGTGTAAATCTCGGGTCGTCCCTAACAGGATGATTTGCGGTACGCAGAAATAGCTGACATGGTATTTACGACAGCTACACACACGGTGTTTCCTCAGATCCTAAAACAGTAAAACAGCATGTTGCTGGCCCTTCCCCAGCATGGCAACACTGCGAACACAATAAATAAAAATGTCCAAGGAGACTAACTGCTCTGCTGATCCAACTGCTGTTAACAAAGGAACGGCTTTAAAACAATGGTTTTGAACTAAAACCAGATATTTACACACTTCATATTTTTTTATTAGGTTTTTGACATTTACCAAGACTTATGTTAAATGTTTTAGGTCACTAAGGATTATCAGAATAATCTCTGCCTTCTATATCAGGGGTGTCACATTCTTTCACATTCAAGTCATCAGGTCTTTAAAAGGGCAGAATCAACTGCATCAAAACAAAACTTTTCATCCTTTCCTTTATAAAAAGAGCACTGAGACGGACCGATACAGGGTTGTTTAAAGGCCAATCCTGATACCTGTTGATATTTTTGGGTCGATTCTTAAAGTCAATATTGATTTTTCTTCCTCCATTTTACATGCTAAAATGAAACAACAATGAAAAAAATGTCACTCGAGCAGTAATTTAAACATAAAAGGAAACATTTCGAAACAACAGAAGAAAACAACAATAGATGGCAAACGGAGGGAATGTAAATACATGGACTGTGATCTTGTGGCATGGCTGCTGAATTCACTAATGAATCAATAAACGTATGGGGTGGAGGTTTTTGAGGACCCAAATGCAGAGATCAGGAGGCTGAGGTTAATCTTGTAGATTTAATGAGTAACTGAGGCTAAATACAAAAATACAAAGAAACAAATGAGAAGAAAACATCAAGGGAAACTCACATGGGGAGCCAGAGATGAGGAAGCAACAAACAACAACAAGGAACCAGCACTGAGTGACTGTAGAGGTGGTGTATATAAGGGGAACAGAACAAAGGATGGGTTAATGAGCTGAATATGGAGCAGGTGTGAGTGGAACTAACTAGAAGGAAGCCAAGGGGAAAGGAAACAAGGGGGCAACAGAGAGTAGCTAAAGACTGCTTGAAAATAATGGAAAATAAACCAAAGATAAAAAAAAAACAGAACAACTGATAACTAAAACCTAAAAACTGAAGAGTTCCAAATGGGGATAGGCATAACAAAATAGGATACAAGAACTACAAAAAAAAAAAAAAAATGCAAATATCGGCCATAAAATGTTTGCGTATCGGTTCACATCTACTCTATTTTACGTCGATCTAACTTTTTTGGAAATTAAGGACCAGATAATTTGCCATGAGGGGCCATATTCGACCCGCAGTTTGACACGTGTTTCCTATATTAGAGGGTAGTCAGTGACCGATTTTAAAAAATTCTTTTAAAACCTTTAAATTCAGAGTTTTACTTCCCACAGGATGTTACAACTACAAAGGTATTTGTCTGTAAGTCAGTTTCCAAAGTTGAATCTACTTTTTATGTTGCTGTAGAAGTATTGGCTTCTTCCCTTGTGAGCGGCCTTTTAACACAAGCCTCTAAGGCATCTATAAGAAAAGCTTTTTTCTTTTCTTTTTTTTTGAACTTAATTCACTGGAACAATAAAACTACAACAACTACATAATAAAACTACAATTACAACTGCAATTCTGTATGAAGTAAAAAAAAAAAAAAAAAAAAAAAAAAAACGCCACCAGAAAAGGTTGTGAAGTGGAAACTGTGGAATAAACTAACAGATATAAAAGAATAATGTCCTAACATATCAGGTCAAATTAGCTCAGAATTATTTTCTTCTTGTTGGATTCATATGTAAATTTAAGAGTAGTGTGATAATTAGTAATTATTGCTAAAATAATTTTTATTACTATTTATGATATTAAAAAAATGCTGACCTTGTTATTTTTTTTAATTTTATTTTAATTTTATACAAAGAAATTTTAAAAATCTGATATATTTAGTTAAATACTCCACTATAGGAACATATTCACTGTGACTGTTTGTATTTTATATAAGGCTGATAGAGTAAAGGACATGAAATTGGACTATATAGTAGCAATGTATAATAATATGTAATGTGGTGTTGTGTATTTTTATTGGATTATGAGAGAATATGTGGTTATAGTGAGTGTATATGTGAATAAAAAATATGGAATAATCTATATCCACTCCTTTGAAGTACAATATGTTACATAAAGTAATAGAATATAGCTGCAAACTCTTGCTGTGGTCTATTTATTTTTGCAGAACAAAGTAAAGCACATCCTCCTTCAACTTTAGGGATTAAAAGAAATAACAAAACTGACTCTATGATGATATAAATCTGACCTCCAAAGGACTGAAGCACACAGATTCTACTCTGTCATAATGTTAGAACAAAGCCAAAATGAAAAGGAGAGCAGAGAGACTCGCTGTGACTATTAAATTTCCCCAGCAGTAATAAATAATTGCTTCCTGTATATCTTTTCCAGCCTCAGGTGAATTCTGGGCCCCTTTTCTGTGTCATCATGTCTCCTACCTTGCATGAACCCGTTTGGACCAGGCTTTTGCTGTCAGACTCAGCCTCACGTTTCAAATCAAGAGAACTAAAGTTCACAGAGAAAAATCTGGCTCTGGCTGTAGATTAGGCATTAATCATCACCTCTCCCCCAATCTGGACAGACAGTGTTTTGCTGACATGCTGCATTTGCTCAGACAGTCAGATTCAGCACCGTATATTTCCACTGGTCTCATCTGATCATTTATTTAAGCCTTTGGATTAAAGATGCTTCCAAACGTCCTGCCTGTTCATGTTCTTTTCTAAATGACTGTCATGAACTGTAGGGCTGCTCAGTAATCCAGTGGGTAGCACTACTGCCTTGCAGCAAGAAGGTTCTAGGTTTGATTCCCGGCCCGCGTTCTTTCTGCATGGAGTTTGCATGTTCTCCCTGAGCATGTGTGGGTTCTCTCCGGGTACTCCAGCTTCCACCCAAAGTCCAAAAGCATGACCGTTAGGTTAACTGGCTTCTCTAAATTCTCCTTAGGTGTGAGTGTGAATGGTTGTTTGTCATGTTTGTCTCTGTGTTGCCCTGCGATGGACTGGCGACCTGTCCAGGGTGGACCCCGCCTCTTGCCCCTCGCACCCTGCGTGGGATAAGCATAACAGAAAATGGATGGATGGATGTCATAAACTGTTATCATGCTAACGCAGCTCTGTTAAGGCTTAGATTGACACGGGTGAACATAGCAGGGCTTTTATTTCTCAGTGCAACATTACAAACATCAAATTGTGGACAACCCTTCTGAGATCGATGAGCAGCAACAGGTCACTGCTGTTTATGAGGTGCCCCCAGGGACATAAATCAGAATTAACTTGCATATACACATATTAAATTACACTCTTCCATATAATA